GTCTGTTTGCCAGCTTTTTAATTTAAGTCCCGATTGGCGCTCAGCTCGCTTCATCCACGCGATGAAACATTCGAAGGCGAGCGACCTGCAGTCGGTGTTGACAGCCCAGACATAGCGAGTGCTTGCGTCGATGAAGGTCAGTGTGTGGTATTCGCCGTCAAGTCCTTCATTTGTCAGGCACATGAAGTCGCTGTAGACCTTGTCGAGCGGCTTGTAACGTTCGTAGCCTGGTGGTAGATCGGGGAAGGGCTTGTGGGCGAGCGACGCGGTGGGGCACACGGTGCAGGTCGGGTCATCGGAGTTTGCGGTGAGGAAGCCTCCTCGTGGGAGGAGAAGAGCTTCGTTGTCGAGGACCCCACCCTTCAGAGAGTTCTTGAGTGTTGTGTGAGAAGGATGTCCGAGCCGCTGATGCCAGATTTCAGGTTCCGCACGGTAGCCCACTGTCTTCTGATAATACTTCTGTCTTGCTGCTTCGTCGTTTGCCTCCCTTTCAGGTCTAGCATCGGCGGCGTTGTCGGCGTCGGCGGCGAATGCGCGGATTGCTTTTTGTTCCAGAAGCGCGAGTGGAATGCCGATGATGTCGTCGGTGTCGCCGGTGTCGACCTGGTCTCCAGTGACGAGCAGGCATCGATCAGGCCAGTCTCGGACTGGGAGTCCCTTCATGGGGATGCGGTAGTAGCTGAACTCGGCTCCGATGACCTCAATCTCCTGTGGTCCTTGCACAGGTGGCTCCGGTTCCTCGGTAGGTGCTGGCAGCTCCGCTGCTTCGCTGAAGAACTCGTAAGTTGCTTCCTGCTCTTCTGACTCTTCTTCTTCCATTGGTTCTGGTGTGTCAGGGGCGTACTGGTCCGGAAGAGGAGGGCCACCCCAGCTGGTGCCTCGTGTCGCCCAGTAGGGATGGAACTCCGCTGTTTCGGCTGAAGGGAGTCCCGGAGCTTCGGGATACGGGGGAGTTGCCTGCCCTAATTCCGATTGGCCTCCAGAAGTGCCCCCCGCTTCCGCCAGTGGTGTTTCCCCAGCCACCAGGGTTGTCTCCGGCGCTCCAGCCAGCTACTTCGCCCCAACCGCCTTCTGTGCTCCAGCCACCTTCGGTGGCACCGCTTGCTACTGTTGCTGAGATGGTGCCGTGGTCTTCTGCAGCTGCTTCCTCTGGTGTTAGAATTTCTCCCAGGGGGCCGAGTGCAGGGCCAGGGCTAACTGGCTCGGTTCCGACCTTTTCTTTTCCTTTAGCGGATAGTTCCGCAGATGCTGATGTTCCGCTGTCTTCTTCCATTGATGCAGGTCCGGTTTCAGCTGGGTTGGAGGTCGAGGCGGTCGGGATGGTGCGCAGTCGCAGGAGGCCGTCCGAGGCGGGTCGTTCGAGATCCATTTCTGTGGGATGCGACCAGGTTGGGGCTTCTGCAGTGGTTGTCTTCAACAGCAAGGTACGGTGAGAGTCTCCTGAGGTGCCTTGAGCGGAGAACTGAAGCACGAAGACTCCGTCGTTGTCCACGGCCTTGCCGATGTAAGTGTTGCCGTTGAAGAGTTCGAAGGTCTTGTCCTTGCGGTTGCTACGAATGTCGACTCCGCACCGCATGAGCTGAGCTGAGGAAAGTAGGTTGTATCGTAGATCTGGAGCGACGAGCACGTCGCCGATGTGGATCGTGAAGTGAGTGTCGTCAGCTTCAAGAAAGATCTCACCGATGTCGTATGCTTTGAGTGTGCCGTCGTTTGCCACTGTGATCTCGCAGGGTCGTCGCATGCGTTTGGAGTTGGTGATGAATGTTGGCGATCCCACCATGTGTTGTCCGCAGCAGCTGTCCAGGTACCAGGTGTTGATGTTCTCGCGGCTTTGCCTCGCGATGTTGGCGATCTTCGGCGTAACGACGCGATCTATTTCGCCGGTGTATGGCGAGAGAGCGAAGTATCGGTTCGCCGAAATGCTGGGAGGTGATTCCGGTGTTGGCGGTGGCAGCTCGAAATCAGGTGGGTGCCTCTGTTGTACGTTGTACCAGGTAGGAGCAGTGGGGTCGTTGTTCGGACTGGGCGCAACAGGGTTGATCGGATCATCAATCGGGAATGTTACTCGATCGTAGTATCGGAAGCCTCTGTTGCGGCGAGCCATGCAGCTCATGATTGTCCCCTTGCCTTTGTCCTTGGTCGTAATGCGTGCAGGTGTTTGCGAGGTGCTTGCGACGGAGGGAGGCGAGACGGTGGTTGTTGAGGCAGAAGGCGCAGAGGGGTTTGAGGAGTTGTTACGCCTTTCGTCGGCTGCCTTTCGCTTGTAGCACCGATCGATAGTGTGCCCAGGCTTCTTGCAGTACTTGCAGAAAGTCCCCTTCTTTCCGTGTTGTTCCCCTTCAGATGCTCCAACGTAGAAGACTAATTTCTCACGCTTGGTGTTCTTCTCGTTGTACAGGTCGATCTCCTTTTGCTCGGAGAGGAGTGTGGCGCACAGAGCCGATTCGGAGACAGTTGCTCGAGCGCGGAGCAAGGATTGGCATTGACGCCAGTCGGGACCAAGGCCTGCAAGAACCATTGAGATGAACATGTCGTCTGGGACTGATCCACCGCACTTCTTGATGTGGTCGCGCAGATTGCGGCACCGGTTGATATATGGTCCCGCTTTCTCCCCTTGATGCATTTTGACTGACGTGAGCTGGCTGAGAAGGTGACTCATTGTAACTGGATCTGTTGCCATGTATGAGTTGCGCAGGTGCTCCCAGGAAGCATACGCGGGTGCCCACTCTGATTTATAGGAGCGAATGCCGAGCTGTTCGTCGGGGGAGAGATTTCGGAGCAGAGTGGTGTACGCGAGAAGAGATTCGTGGTAGTATTGATTCTTCTCTTGGATGGTGCCTTCCGTTGGAAACGGTAAGCTCCCGTCGTAGTACATCCAAATTTGCGCATTTGTAGCGAGGAGTTCAAACTCGAAGCTCCAAGTGTAGAAGTCCTTTCCGTTGAAAGGGACTGATGTCTTCAGCTTTGATGTCAGAACGAATTTTGTATGTATTGCTGAAATCGTTTCTGCGTGTGCGCGTTGTTGACGGTCTTGCGCAGGAGCTGAAGCTTGACGGTTGTCAAACGTGAAAGATCTCTCAGAGTTGACGCGGCGGTCTTCTCCAGGGAGAGGAAGTCCAGCAACCCCACGTGCGAAGCTTGAGCCATCGATGCTCATGGCTTGATGGCTTTCAAGAGCATTGATGCGGGCGACCAGCTGCTCAACGAGAGCGGCGCTGACGGAGGTCACCACAGATGGTGCAGTGGGTGTTGCTGATGGTGGGCCCGGAGATTCTGCAGTGGCTTTCCCTTCTGGAGCCATAGCGATGCAGAGTCTTTGATGTTGTAAGGAATAATTTATAAGGAGTTTGTTCTAGCAAGAACAAGAACTTAGCAGGCCTTATAATCCACTCTAGCTCTCATACCATGATGTTATAACCGAAGAATCGTAGTGGACAGAATAAAGTTTGCTAAGTATAGGAGAGAACTGTGAAGTCTCTGTAATGACCTTGTTAATAATTTGAGAGAGAACAAGATGATTATAAGATAGGAGTACAGGAGTATAAATAGCAAGCCTAGCTAGCCATGTACTCTGAGGGGTACATTCCCTTATTAACTGAATTGCATTGCTACAGTAACCCACGACTATTGCTATTCTAGACAGTTACCATGTTGCATTTCGTAACTGCCTTGTGCGGTTACTGGGCAGTCAAGGGTCACGACCGTTGACTGTCTTCGACTGTTGACCTTCGGGTGACCCTCGATCTTCCGCGTGCCCTATATGAGCTCATGCGGTACTGGTACAGGCGTCTGCTTCGCTATGGAGAGACGCGATGGTGGAGAGTCTTCGGGAATGCTAGTGATAACCTTTCGGTTATTCCAACATGTACTCTTATTTATACGAATGTATTTGCATGTTTTTTATCATCTCAGTCATTTTAAATTCACTCCGATTTAAGGTCACAAACTTCCGCTGCAACACTCAATTACTGCGAACCTTCCTGAGGCGATCCTATGCTCGATCTTCCTTTTGATCGCAACATAAACTTTTGGCGCTGGAGCGAGATTTGATTTAATTTAGTAAATAGCTGATGCTCTTAATATGTTGCATGAGTTGAAGTTGTAGACTATTAGCGCCTCATTTTGGTTCTTATATCGCCAATGATAAAAAGTTTTTATCGCTTCATCCTGTAGCAATCGTCGTCGACATTTGAATTTGCCCCCGTTAGAGCTGCTCCGATCCGTATTTTGATATGTGTGGATCCTATTGGGAGACTCTGCAAAATGATATACATCACAACACCACCTGTTTTCTTTTAGAGCATGTGCTCGGCTTAAGATCAAGTAACGAAGTGCATGTAAAATTGGCCAATTGTTAAGGACGGCTGCGCCCCACTTTGCAAGTGTACCCCACTTAGATCCTGCTGTTGACATTTCTGTAGCGAAAAATGGTTTGTCGGTCGCCTATCGCTGACGTGGGGAGCTGGTGGGGAGGCGTGAAACCTTGCCCTTGAGTTTGGTTTGGGCGTTGAGGTGGATTGAGTGAGGCAAACGCAACAAACAAGAGAAACTAGAATGGTGCGGATGGTAACCCAAATGTAGATCCGATGGGCCTTTTCTTATCCGTCGGCCGAAACTTGTCGGATCGCCTCGTGAAAATATCTGGCCGTCCAATTCTCCTCACTTCTGTTCCGTCATGACTTCACTTTTCTCCCAACCAGCAAAATGACGTTCAGCTTTCATGCCTCTCTCTCTCCCTCCCACCACCAAACCCTGGTTCCGCCGCACTAGGACCCATTCACCTCCGTCAAACTCCTCATTTTCATTATTTTCCAACTTCTCGTCGTGCGGCACCAACCGCGTTCTCCATTCCAGCCGCGAGCTGGTAGTTAGATACTTAGACCTAGAATAGGCTCCGGTTCATGTACCTGCTTGTCGTGCCGATTTGTTCCGCGCTACTTGGTCACTTCGACGAATTACTGAGGCGGGTGTAACAGGGTTACGCTCGCGATTCACACGCGATGGGTGTTCCAGCGTTCTACCGCTGGTTGGCGGACAAGTATCCGTTGATTATAGTGGATGTGATTGAAGAGGAGCCGCAGGTGATCGACGGCGTGACGGTGCCGGTGAACACGGTGGAAGCGAACCCTAACGGCGAGTTCGACAATCTGTACCTCGACATGAACGGCATCATCCACCCGTGCTTTCACCCAGAAGATCGCGTAAGTCATTTGACACGTCTTGTTGATAAGCACGGTCGAAGAGAATTGAACGGCGAGCCGCGGGTTTTTTTTTACGGCGAGTTCGACAATCTGTATCCTGACATGAACGCATCACCCATCCGTGCTTCCACCCCGAAGATCGTGTAAGTCCTTCGGACGCCTTAGGAGTAAACACGGTTGAGGAGAAAATCGAATGACGAACGGCAGTCTTTTCTAACTGCGAGTTGGACAATAGGTAATAGGTTTTTTGAACGACGAACGGCGAATGCTGCAACGGCGAGCTGGACGATCTGTATTTGGTCATGAGCGGCATCATCCACCCGTGCGTTCTACCCCGACGATCGTGTAAGCCATTGGAAACGTCTTGAGAGTTTTTACGGCCGAGGGAAATATTTATCGTCGAACCGCGAGTCTCCATAACGGCGAGTTCGACGATCCGTTTATAGGCATGAACGACACCACTCACCCGTGCTTGCAGCCCGACGATCGTGTAAGCCCTTAGAGACTCCTTGAGAATCAACACGGTTGTGGGGAATCTGGAAGGCGAGCCGCTAGTCTCCCTAATTGCGAGTTACCTAAACGGCGAGGTGCCCTAACGGCAAGGCATCTAAGCGGGAGTTAATCCACTGCGAGTTACCCTAAGTGCGAGTGATCATATTTGCTTATTGGACACGGACATGTGCATGTCGACATATGGATGCGTTGTTTTTAGGGAACCTCGCCGTAATTATGGCATCACTCTCTGCTACGTCCACGCCGGCGACTGCATATTGTGGCGACCAGATAGTGATTACGGTAGAGGATAAGCAAGTCGTTCAGTTATTCAACTGTGTTTGTCAATTTCTGCTGTAGAACGTAGTTGTTTACTCAACGTGATAGCGTTTCGTTACGATGTTAGTGACGTTACGTGGGGGGGTCGCACCTGCGGCAGGAAGGTGTTACCGTTTTAGGTGTCATCAAGTTCGTAGGCGTTGTCCTGCATCGACTCTGATGCGTTCTCACGTAATATCTGCAACGGCATATGCATGGCATGTATAAAGAGCGTACCATATCACAACATCATGGCATTACTAAACACATCAAGCAAGCCTCTGAATATTTCTGATGGCATCGCTTGTCCTTCGACCTTCGCGGTTCCTCCCCTCGTCGCATCCTCTCTGTCCCCTGTCTCGCACGCGGCCCCCCCCCCGACTCTGCACGAGGTGTTCTGACCATTTTTGACTACATTAATTGCCTTGTTGACCTGCCTCTCTTCCCTCACAACGCCTTCTTCCCCGTCCATCTTTACTCCCCTTGCCTCGCGTGCAGCCGTCCCCCACGACCCTGCACGAGGTGTTTCAGAACTTCTTTGACTACATTGACCGCCTCGTCTACCTAGCTCTCTTCCCTTACAATGCCTCCCTCCCCTTTCATCTTGACCCCCCCTCCCTCTCCTGCAGCCGTCCCCCACCACCCTGCACGAGGTGTTTCAGAACATCTTTGACTACATTGACCGCCTCTTCGCCATAATCCGCCCTCGCAAAGTGCTCTTCATGGGCATTGGTGGGTGTTCCCTTCTACTTCTGGGGGTATTGCTGGGTGTTATCAACTAGCTTCCAAAGTTTCTTGTGTATGTCCTCCTCACTTCAAGGAAATCGGTGAATGGCAACCATTGCCGAACCATCACTGAATGTCCATTCGTTTCACAAGCACTCCCACCCTGCTGTGCTGTGCCGTTCCCCGTTTCCAATGATTGTTCCGGCAGGTGTTGCTCCGCGAACAAGAGCCGACTTCGAAAGTCACTGTGCTGTGCCGTGCTGTTCCCTTTCCCCCAACATTGCTTCTGCAGACGGTGTGGCCCCGCGAGCCAAGATGAACCAGCAGCGCTCCAGACGATTCCGAGCAGCCAAGGACGCAGCAGACGCAGTAAGTATACCCGTTATAGCCCCTGCCATGCCATGTGGCTCCCCTTTTTTGCACGTGTCTTCACTCGCGCGTGCTCCATTCACAGCAACCCAACCCCACTGCTGCCTTGACTCTTGCGCGCTCAGCAGCCCGACCAGGGCCATACGACCATCGCCTGTTCCCTCGCCCGCCTCCCTCCCTCCCGTCAATGCCGCAGGCAGCAGAGGAGCGGTTGAGGAAGGAGTTTGAGCTGGAGGGGTGCATGGTGCTGCCCAAGGAGAAGTCAGAAACTCACGCCTCCCATGCCTCCCTCCCTTCCTCCCTGCCTGCTTTCCTGCCCGCCCGCCCGCCTGCCTCCCTCCCTATCCTAAACAGGCAGCAGAGGAGGAGCGGCTCAGAAAGGAATTTGAGCTGGAGGGGCGCATGGTGCCACCCAAGGAGAAGTCAGTCAGAGACACATGACTTACATGTAGTCACCCTTTTCTTTGCTCCCCTCTCTTCCCCCACACAGGCAGCAGAGGAGGAGCGGCTGAGGAAGGAGTTTGAGCTGGAGGGGCGCATGGTGCCGCCCAAGGAGAAGTCGGAGACGGTCGACTCCAACGTCATCACGCCCGGCACGCCCTTCATGCAGCAGCTGTCCGTGGCGCTGCAGTACTATATTCACCTGCGCATCAACCAGGACCCTGCGTGGAAGAATGTTAAGGTGAGGATTTGGCAGGGTTTGGAGCTTTGGTTCAAGGGAGGTGAGTGAGGATAGGCACGCCCTTCATGCAGCAGCTGTCCGTCGCGCTGCAGTACTACTTCCACCTCAGGATCAACCAGGACCCCGCCTGGAAGAACGTTAAGGTGAGGATTTGGCAGGGTTTGGGGCTTTGGTTTAAGAGGTGAATGAGGATAAGCACGTCCTTGATACAGCAGCTGTCCGTCGCGCTGCAGTACTACTTCCACCTCAGGATTATTAATCAAGACCCTGCGTGGAAGAACGTCAAGGTGAGGTTTAGGATTGGCCGGGGTTTAAGGGAGGGTAGTCAGGGGAGAGGGGGAGGGGAGAGGGTAGGCTCGCCCTTCATGCAGCAGCTCTCCGTGGCGCTGCAGTACTACATCCACCTCAGGATCAACCAGGACCCCGCCTGGAAGAATGTGAAGGAGAGGTTTAGGGTTGGGTCGGGGTTTAAGGGGTGTTAGCGGGGAGAGGGAGGGAGGCGAGAGCATAGGCCCGCCCTTCATGCAGCAGCTGTCCGTGGCGCTGCAGTACTACATACATCCACCTGGGCATCAACCAGTTCCCCGCCTGGAAGAAGGGTTTAGGGTTTGGGTTATGGGTGATGAGTGAGGAGAGAGAGGGAGGGGTGATTCGAGATCATTAAAAACTGGGATTAATAAGAAATAACAGACCTCAGAAACACACCTCTTATCTTGCCCATCCTTGGTTGGTTCCACACCACCACCACCACCACCACCACCACCACCACCACCACCACCACCACCACCACCACCACCACCACCACCACCACCACCACCACCACCACCACCACCACCACCACCACCACCACCACCACCACCACCACCACCACCACCACCACCACCACCACCACCACCACCACCACCACCACCACCACCACCACCACCACCACCACCACCACCACCACCACCACCACCACCACCACCACCACCACCACCACCACCACCACCACCACCACCACCACCACCACCACCACCACCACCACCACCACCACCACCACCACCACCACCACCACCACCACCACCACCACCACCACCACCACCACCACCACCACCACCACCACCACCACCACCACCACCACCACCACCACCACCACCACCACCACCACCACCACCACCACCACCACCACCACCACCACCACCACCACCACCACTCACACCACCACCACCACCACCACACCACCACCACCACCACCACCACCACCACCACCACCACCACCACCACCACCACCACCACCACCACCACCACCACCACCACCACCACACACCACCACCACCACCACCACCACACCACCACCACCACCACCAACCACCACCACCAACCACCACCACCACCACCACCACCACCACCACACCACCACCACCACACCACCACCACCACACCACCACCACCACCACCACCACCACCAAACCACCACCACACCACCACCACCACCACCACCACCACCACCACCACCACCACCACCACCACCACCACCACCACCACCACCACCACCACCACCACCACACCACCACCACCACCACCACCACCACCACCACCACCACCACCACCACCACCACCACCACCACACCACCCCCACCACCACCACCACCACCACCACCACCACCACCACCACCACCACCACCACCACCACCACCCACCCCACCACACCACCACCACCACCACCACCACCACCACCACCACCACCACCACCACCACCACCACCACCACCACCACCACCACCACCACCACCACCACCACCACCACCACCACCACCACCACCACCACCACCACCACCACCACCACCACCACCACCACCACCACCACCACCACCACCACCACCACCACCACCACCACCACCACCACCACCACCACCACCACCACCACCACCACCACCACCACCACCACCACCACCACCACCACCACCACCACCACCACCACCACCACCACCACCCCACCACCACCACCACCACCACCACCACCACCACCACCACCACCACCACCACCACCACCACCACCACCACTACCACCAGGTGATCATGTCGGACGCCAATGTGCCAGGCGAGGGCGAGCACAAGATCATGAATTACATTCGCCTGCCGCGGCTCTGACGCCTCTCTTCTCATCTCATGCCATGCTGCCCTTGTACCGCCACCAGGTGATCCTATCAGGCGCGAACGTGCCAGGCGAGGGAGAGCACAAGATCATGAACTACATTCGCCTGCAGCGGAACCTTCCGGGCTTCGACCCCAACACACGTCACTGCATCTACGGACTGGTTGGTGACATGTTTATAGCTTGCTCGTTACCCCCGCTTAAACCTCGCACCCTGAACCCTACCTTTTTATTCCGTGTGGAGATCACAGATCCCAGCACCCCCTCCTTCCTGCCGCCATTTGACTGTGAATTTCCTCCCACTGCACGCGGATCCGATCCGACCATGGTAGCCTTGTCTTGTCAAGAGAGGAAATGCACGTCAGCATGCCCTCTTGCTATCCTCCTCTCCCCCCCCCTCTCTCTCCCCCACTTTCCCGCTCCCTATCCCCAACCCCCCCAACACATACTTTCCTTCCAACAAAACCACACAATTTCTTCTCTACCGCCCTACCGCCGTCGCTTTTCCCCTGCAGGACGGGATCTGATTATGCTGGCCCTTGCAACACACGAAGTGCATTCTTAACATTCTCTCTTGCTATCCGTCCCCACCTTTCTCAATACCCCCCTCCCTCCACCTTCCACTCGTCTCCCCCTTTCCCGCTTTCTCTCATCTTCCTTCCCCTTGCAGGACGCGGATCTGATCATGCTCGCCCTGGCAACACACGAAGTGCATTTCACCATTCTCAGAGAGGTTGGTGATCGTCGCACTCTAGTTACTGTCTGTGTGCGCTCAACCAGAGCCAGCCCCTCAAAACCAGACGCCTTGCTAGAGCCCGCTCGTTGAATCGTGCATCTCATCTCTCCATCCGTGACGGCCAGCCATTCAGTTCAGCAGTATCTGCCACCCCTATTCCCCCATCATCCTGTAATTTTCATGGTTTTCTGCCAGGTCCGACCTGTCAGTCAGCCCCCCTCCACCCCCACACCCCGCCACCCAACCCAACCCAACCCAACCCAACCCAACCCAACCCAACCCAACCCAACCCACCCCCCTTCCCGATCCCCTTAAAACCTTGTGATTGTGGATCGTACCTCTCTCCATCGGCGCGGCGGTGCCCTGTCAGCCAGCAGTATCTGTCAATCCTCCCTTCTCTTGCTATTCTTCATTTCACTGTCTTCAACTCTCCGCCCTCCACTCCCTTCCCGTTTCCCGTTTGTCTTTTCCCTCGTCCCATGGTTCTTACCTTCCTCATCAGCAATTGTATCCCCGCCTGCCTGCCTCTCTCTTGCTCCTAATCCCCTGACTACTTGTTTTTTAGACGTCTCAAAAACACCCTTTTTTCACGATGCCTGCCTGCCTCTCTCTCTTGCTCCTAATCCCCTGACTACTCTTTGTTTTCCACCCTCCCACCCCACGCCATTGGCTGCCAAGCAGGTTGTGTTTCAGCCCGGGCAGGTGGACAAATGTTTTCTGTGCGGGCAGACGGGGCATCTGGCGGCGGAGTGTGAGGGCAAGCCGAAGCGCAAGAGGGGCGAGAACGACGAGAAGGACGGGGGTGTACCCAAGAAGCCGTTTCAGGTGGGTGTCTGTGCGTGAGGTGAATGGGTCACCCATTATGGGTACATAGTTCACTTGGACGCGGAGTGTAAGGGCAAGAGGAAGCACAAAAGGGGCGAGCACGACGAGAAGGAGGGGGGTGTACCCAAGAAGCCACTTACAGGTGGGTGTTTTTGCGTTGGGTTGGGGGAATGGGTCACCCATTATGCGTGCGTGCTCGATGCACCTAGCGGCGGAGTACTAGTTTTGAGGCGCCTCAAAACTGCACCTGGCGGCGGAGTGCGAGGGCAAGCTGAAGCGCAAGAGGGGCGAGCACGACGAGAAGGAGGGGCAAGCAGCGTGCCAAGGAGCCCTTGAGAAGGAACTTGCCCGTTTTCCACTTCTCTTCCCTGTGCACCCTTCCATTGCCCCGTCCCTTGTCTCACACCACCACCAGTTGCTGCAGTGCTGGGTGCTGCGAGAGTGTCTGGAGCTGGAGTTCCGCGTCCCAGGCGTGGAGATGGATGTAGAGAGAAGCGACTTGCCGGCTCTTCACATCCGCTGGCAGTGGTGGGAAGGGATGGAAGGAGAGAAGAGGTGGTGAGGTGATTGACCCGAGGGAATGGGCTGGGGAGTTAAAGGAGTGTGGGTATGTGTTTCTGCACGAGCTCACTCCAGATACCCCCAATAGTGGTGCTGGTTCCACTGCTACTGCTAATGCTGCTGCTGGTTTTGCTGGTGGTAGTAGCAGTGTGGGAGCAGCGAGGGCTGTGTATCCGGCATTGCGGAGAGATGGAGGGGAGGCGAGTGCGTTGCACCTGGCACATGCATGCATGGACGGCTCTTCATGGCACTTCTACCAAAGGTGACGCCCCATGCCATGCCATGCCCTTTGAAGCGAGGGTACACATTCACCAAACGGGTGCCTTGGTTGGACCTGTCAAATGCATGCGTGGATGGGTTGTCGTGGCACTTCCACTGAAGTTGACGCCCCATGCCATGCCATGCCATGCTGCACCATACCATACCATGCCATGCCACGCTGCACCATACCATACCATGCCGTGCCATGCTGCACCATACCATACCATGCCATGCCATGCTGCACCATACCATATGCCGTGCCACTCTGCACCATGCCATTCCGCAAGGGCTTACATGAGAAGGGCGGCGAATGCGCGCTTGGGCTGTGGCCATGGCTCAATCACTGCCCCCCATCTGTATGTTGGTGTTCCCATGCATGCTTACGTTGCTCATCATCACAGCACTTCTACCAGGTGACGCTGCATGCCATGCCATGCCATGCCATGCCATGCCATGCCATGCCATGCCATGCCATGCCACACCATGCCGTGCCACACCATGTCATGTCACACCATGTCATGTCACACCATGTCATGTCACACCATGTCATGTCACACCATGTCATGCCACACCATGTCATGCCACACCATGTCATGCCACGCCATGCCGTGCCGTACAATGCCGTGCGACTAGCGATGCCACACCATACGATGCCACCTGAGGGCTCATCACCTCTCTGCACCCCTCCCCTACCTCTCTCCATGCCATTCCTTCTCTCCCCTCTCTCACCCGCTGCACCCACCAGCTACCTCGCATCTGTGTCCTCCCTCATTCCCGGCAACACTCTGTCTTCTGGGGGTAATGAGGGCGCACACGCACACAGGCAGGGAGGCATGCAGGGAGCTTGGCCTCTGGAGCTGCAGGTGAGTCACTGCGTGGTTTTTCTGGAATGCCCTTGGTGAGTCGCTCTGTAGGCGTGGAGCAGGGAACGGCCGTCCACGTGAAATGATTCTGCTTTTGAGACGCCTCAAGAACAAAGTTATGTCCTTGGTGAGTCGGTGTATGGGTTATTTGGAGACTGGAATAGCCTTGGTGAGTCACTGTGCAGGTGTGCAGCAGAGAATGGCCCTGCATGGCTTCACAGGGAACTAGTCGCAACTCCTAGCATCTGGAAGTGCGGCCTCTGGAGTTTTTTAATGAAGGAAATGATTTCACTGCAAGGCTTTAATGCATACAGCAGCTCTGGAGAAACTCGTGGAAGAAGGGAAGAGGTGCCGAGGCTGGATGTGATGCTGGGAGGGTGGTTAGTGGCAGAGACAAGAGGACAAAGCATTGCAGGGTGTTGAATCTTCGCTCTCTTTCCTCCCTTGTTCAACTGCAGGGCTTTGGTACATTCAGCCCAGGAGAGACAAGTGGAAGAATCAGGGAGGGGCCAAGGCTGGATGAGATGCTGGGAGGGTGGGCCGTGGCAGAGGCAGCAGTGGAAGACGGGATGAGATGCTGGGAGGGTGGGCCGTGGCAGAGGCAGCAGTGGAAGACGCAAGGAGAGCAGAGGAAGCAGAGGAGGTGGTGAGGAGGGAAGCGGAGCTCTTGGGTGGTGACTATGGTGTGAGTGTGCCCCATGTGCTGCCTGCAGTGGTGTGTGCTGGGCTCATGGATGGGTGGGTGGCACAGGGCCAAGCTGACGTGAGAGCACCGCTCCAGCCGTTGCCTTATTGAGCTGCGTTCTTATGGACCGCCACATTATAAGGTGTATGTACAGTGACTTGCATCGCACGTGCTGCCTGCAGTGGTGTGTGCTGGGCTCAGGGATGGGTGGGGCTGGTAGGCACAGCGTCAGGCTGATGTGAGAGCACCGTTCCAGTCATTGCTTGAGTTGCTGTAATGCCATTCAGTTAATGTTGCTTGTATAGTGACTCGCTTTGCATGCGTGAAGCATGTGTTGGGCTTGTGATTCTTTCACCACCTGCACCTGCCCCTTCACGAGATAGCGCGGGAATCAATGGCGCGGGAACCAAAAAAGCAGAACGATGGGGGCGGAATGACAAGGGAAAGGGGGAAGAGTGGTGGAGCGGGAGAGGAACGGGAGCCCGCGCGCTGCTGATCGCGAGCCCGCGCGCTGCTGAGAATTCCACGCGGCGCTTGCTCTGCCTTTGCTCGCTGAGATGAAGAAGCCATGCCATGGCTGGGATCGCCGAAAACGACCTGGCGCCAAAACACGAAACGCTTCGAGCACGGACGTACCAGTACAGACTCGCATTTGAACCTCGTTTCACCCAATCGGATCGACCTATCATGCGCGGCATGTCGGTACATGAGAAAACGTCCAGGGGGAACCCTCTGTCAAATGTTAATGTTATGATAGGCTGCAGTGAGGCACTCCCTAGAGGGTACAACATTTGTAGGACTCCTATTTGTATGCTTGCAAACCCTAATCCCAAACATTCCGTTGCATGTAGATTCTGAGATGGTATCACGAGTAGGTATCGATCCTCCCTCCCCGCCCTAGCCGGCGCGCCCTCCGTTCCGCGCCCTCGCGCCCTCCGTAGCGCCTAGCGCCCTCCGCGCCCTCCGTCACGCCTCGCGCCCTCCGCGCCCTCCGCGCTCCTAGCGCCCTCGCGCCCCTTAGCGCGGCCCTCAGCCCGCCCCACGTCGCGCCCCTTAGTGCGCCCCTCGGCCCGCCCCTCCGTGCCCTCCGCGCCCTCCGCACGTTCGTGCCCTCCGCGCCCTCCGCACGTTAGTACCCTCCGCGCCCTCCACGCCCTCACCGCGCGCCTAGCCCGGCCCCTCCCACTGTCGCGCCCTCCCCCTGCCCGTCGCGCCCTCCCCCCTGACCGTCGCGCCCTCCCCCTGCCCGTCGCGCCCTCCCCCTGCCCGTCGCGCCCTCCCCCTCCCCGTCGCGTCGCCACCCCTCCCCTTCCCCTCCCCGTCGCGTCGCCTCCCCTCCTCCTGCCCGTCGTGTTCGCCTCCCCTCCTCCTGCCCGTCGCGTCGCCTCCTTTCCCCCTGCCCGTCGCGTCGCCTCCCTTCCCCCTGCCCGTCGCGTCGCCTCCCCTTCCCCTCCCCGTCGCGTCGCCTCCCCTCCTCCTGCCCGTCGCGTTCGCCTCCCCTCCTCCTGCCCGTCGCGTCGCCTCCCTTCCCCCTGCCCGTCGCGTCGCCTCCCCTCCTCCTGCCCGTCGCGTCGCCTCCCCTCCTCCTGCCCGTCACGTTCGCCTCCCCTTCCCCTGCCCGTCGCGTCGCCTCCCTTCCCCCTGCCCGTCGCGTCGCCCTCCCCTCCCAATCCCGTCGCCCTCCCTTGCCCGTCGCGTCAACCTCCCCTCCCCGCCCATTTCTCACCGTCAGATCCTCCTCCCGCCCATTTTCACCGTCGCATTCGGCCTCCCCGCCCCTCTCTCACTATTCATCACCTTAGCCCCACCACCGCCTTGTGCGCGGGGCCCTCCCCAGCTCTGCTGACACTGGTCTATCCCTCAGCGGCTGGCAGCCGCTCTCTCTCGCCGGTCACCTAGGTTAGAGCCGTTTTAGCCGCTCATACCTCGCTCCTCGCACCTGTAGCTGGCGATCCACGATTTCACGCCTAGTCTAGGTCGCTCGGTACTCCTAGTCTCTCGCTCCGCCGCTTTCTCTCCTGGCGCTCCGTAGTTTTCCTCCTCGTTCTTAGCTCCGCCTCCGCCGTGCTCCAGCCGCCTCTAGCATGGGCTCCGCTATGGAGGCCCGTCGCCTCCGTTTCGATGCGGAGGGACGCCTAATCGAGTTCGGTACCTGGCAGCGCCAGACCACACGCTTCCTCACCAGCCAGCGACAGGACGGCGCCACCCTGTGGGCTCACGCGTCTGGTGCCCTACAGGCCCCCCCGTCCCCCGCCGCCCTGCCGACCACCCCGGAGCCGACCCCTACGGCACAGGCGGACTACGACCGTCGGGTCCTGGCCAGGGACGTGTGGCTCTCGCGTGACGCAGCCGCCCCTCTCACTCTGTCGGAGCTTCTCCCCCCGACCGAGGCCGCCCACTTTGACCAGGTGGAGACTGCACAGGGGGTTTGGGAGGCTATTGTTGCTCGCTACTCCACCCCCTCCTCTGCCTCCCTCAGTCGCCTCCTCATGCCGTTTGTGTTTCCCGACCTAGGCTCGTTTGCGACTGTTTCCGACCTAGTGACTCACCTCCGCTCGCTTGACGCCGGTTTCCGCGCTGCCTGTACCGACGCACAGCTTCTAGTTGCTCCCCCCCCCATGTGGCTCACTGTTCACTGGTTAGTCACCCGCCTCCCTGACCACCTTGCCACTGCCCGCGACGCGCTTCTTCAGAAGCACCCCACTGAGCTCACTATCGACCTCCTAGCGACTGCTCTAGGGACCATCGAGAGCAGTCTCCTCACCGTTGCCTCCGCCACTGATGCGGTGGCCCCCCGTCTCTTTGCGGGGTGTGCCGCCCCTCAGCTTCCCACTTTCACCGCTACCCGCGCCTCTGCTGCTGTGTCGGTCTCTGAGGACACTGCTGCCGTTTCTGCCGCAGACTGGCAGAAACGGGGCAAGAGCGGCAAGAAGGGCGGGAAGGGGGGGGGTGGGGGCGGAGGCGGCGGCGGTGGAGGGGGCGGTGGAGGAGGCGGTGGAGGTGGGAGCGGCGGGGGTAGAGGTGGCAGCAGCGGCGGTGGTGCACCGGGAGGAGGGGGCCCTGGAGCGGGCGCCGGACAGCCGGGCCCTCCCACTGGTGGAGGCCCACAGCAGCAGCAGCCACAGCGGTACCCACAGCAGCACCCGCCACAGCAGGGACAGCAGCAGCAGCAGGGACCGCAGCAGCAGCAGGCACCCCAGCAGTGGGGGCCCCCGCTGCAGTGGGGTCCGCAGCAGCACTGGGGTCCCCCGCCGCAGTGGGGTCCGGGCGGCCCTGGGAGCACCAGCCGCAGCAGCAGTACTTCCAGCTGGGCCCCTCGCCCCCCTCGCCGTGACGCTGGCCCGTGCACCCACTGGTGCGTCACCGGGCCGGGGAGCCCCTGTCTCTGTGGTCGCGACGACCACTCTGCCGCGCGGTGCTTCCGCCGCCTCGACGACCTCTACCGGGCTCGTTGGGGCCCGCTGGCGGTCACGCCTCGCTGGTCTCGTCTGTTAGCCCGTAAGATTGATGTCTTTGATTTGTCCATGGACGATGCGCGTCAGCATGCTTTGTCTGTTGATGCTGACTTTAGTGCTGATGGATCTGTGTGCTCGCGTGTTCGTAGGTTAGCCTGCTTGCCTCCTGCTAGTGTAGCCTTGTGCCTGTCTAGCTTAGGTGCTTGTGTTGCTGCTCTAGGTGCTTGTGTAGCGACTGGGTCAGATGACCAGCCGGCTGAGGCCTCTCTGTCGTTCACGCTGGACTCGGGCGCGTCTCAGTGCTTCTTCCGTGACCACACGACCCTTACACCACTCCTCACACCTGTGTCGGTGGCTCTGGCTGATCCTACCTCTGGACCAGCCGTTGCGCGTAGCTCCACCACCCTCCCGTGCCCTGTGGTCCCCTCTGGTGTCCTGCGCGGCCTCCACATCCCCTCGTTCACTCGGAACTTGGTGGGTGTTGGATACCTCCAGGATAGGGGGATCACGGTTACCTTCGTGGGGGGTGGGCGGACTGCAGTCTGTACAGACGCTACCACAGGTGCTGTTCTGGCCACGCTCACCAGGGAGCCCCGCTCCGGTCTCTACGTTCTCCACACTGAGCGCTCCCCGGTCGCGTCCTCCCCTCGTTGCGTCCCCTCCAGCCCAGGTCCCCAGTCCAGTTGCTGTGTCTAGCTAGGTAGTAGTGTCCGGTCCGGTCGCTGTGCCCAGTCCAGTCGCGGCGTCTTGCTCCTGTCACTCTCTCACCCACCGCACCGTCCTGTGGCACCACCGCCTTGGCCACCCGTCGCTCCCTCGCCTACGTGGCATGCTCAGTCAGGGACTTGTCTCAGGTCTCCCACGCACCTTCCCGTCGCTCCCTCTCTCGCTTGCCCCTCCTTGCTCTCCGTGCGTCGCCGGTCGCTTACGCGCCACTCCCCACTCCTCCTCCCTTCGTCCGGCCACCGCTCCCTTCGAGACTCTCCACTTGGACGTCTGGGGCCCTGCCCCGACGCAGGGGTCTGGGAGGGAGCGTTACTTTCTGGTGGTCGTTGACGACTTCTCCAGGTACACCACAGTGTTCCCTCTTGCGAAGAAGTCCGAGGTGACTGCTACGCTGATCAGGTGGCTTCTAGCCACTGAGGGCACTTGTGGTCGTCGAGTCAGTTGTCTCCACTCCGACTGTGGGGGCGAGTTTCGCTCCGGCATTCTCGGCGGATTCTGCGGCGAACAGGGCATCACCCAGTCCTGGACGCTGCCAGAGTCCCCACAGCAGAATGGGGTTGCTGAGCGCCGCATAGGCTTGGTCATGGACATCGCCCGCACGTCCATGATCCATGCCCGTGCGCCCCATTTTCTGTGGCCCCACGCGGTTCGCTACGCCGCACACCAGCTGAACCTCCAGCCGCGTGTCTTGCGGCCCGAGGTTTCACCGACCAGTCTTTGGACTGGTTCCCCTGGTGTCGGGTCGGCCTTTCGAGTCTTGGGCTGCCTTGCACTTGTTCGCGACACCTCCGCGGACAAGCTCTCGGCACGCGCTGTCCCCTGTGTCTTCCTTGGTTTCCCAGTGGACTCTGCCGACTGGTCCTTTTACCACCCTCCCCTCCACCACTTCCTAGACTCCCGTGACGTCCGGTTTGACGAGTCCGTGTCCTACTACACCCGGTACCCCTGTCGAGGTCTCCCGGTACCCCCTCCCCCTCTTTTCCTCGCACCCTCTCCTCCTCCTGCTCCCGCTCCTCCGGTACCCCCGCCCCCCCCTGGTCCTGCCCCGTCTGGTGTGTCCCACGTTACCCCTCTACCCTCAGTCGCGCGTCAGGTAGCGTCTCCCTCCCCGCAGTCCTCCTCACAGTCCCCTCAGCAGCCTTCGGCACTTCCGCGACAGGTTACTGTGGACTCGGTTGGTGTTGGGGCTGGAGGTGCAGCCACTGGCGGTGCTAGGTCTGGGGGTACTCGGTCGCGGGGTGCTGGAGCTGGAGGTGCTGGCGCAGGTGGCGCCAGCTCTGGGGGTGCTGGAGCTGGAGGTTCTGGCGCAGGTGGCGCTAGTTCTGGGAGTGCTGGAGTTGGTGGTCCTGGCACTGGAGGTGCTGGTACTGTCAACGGGAGTTGTGTTTGGCCCCGTCCTCGCTTGGGCGGAGCCGACCGTGGGAGCCACGAAATCGCAGTGGCCCGTGGCAGCCACAAAATCGCAGTGGCCCGTGGGAGCCACGAAATCGCAGTGGAGGACCGCGGTGGCCGAGAAACCGCGGGAGGACCGCGAAATACCCGGTCAACCAGGATACCCGGGCGACGTGCGCGAAAGTCGCCGGGGATGTTGTCTGCGAGGACGACCTCGGGGGTGGTATCCCGAGGTCGACGTGGCTGGTGGGCGCCGTCACGGGTGAAGTGTCTGCGCTGGGCATGTGACTGGGAGTTGGGCGCCAACCAGCTGCACGCACCTGCGAAGATGGTGCACCGTTGTCCCGCGGATGCGACGCTGTGCAGCCGACATACTGCAGCGTTGGCGCACCGCGGACTTGCAACGTTGGCAGGCCGCGACTCTGCTCTGCTGGAGCACGGTCGACCAAGTCGTGCTGGCACGCGGTCGACCGTGCTGCGCTGGCAGTGGACCAGCAGCCTTGCTAGGTCTGATGTAGTCATTGTTGCCAATGTTGCTAAAATTATTCTGAACTTTTGTTGTTATGTTTTCCTAGTGAAACTCTTGCCAATTTTCCCCGTGAACTAGCAAGCAGTATTAGCACCTGGAAACGACTAAGGAACGAACGAACGCTACGATCACTCTTGCCCCGTGCCTAGCCCGTAGTCTAGCTACCGTTGCAATAGTTATCTCCGCATGGTGCGGTGAGCGTGGACGGCACACGACTTACCTTTTCAGTCAGGTCGACGTAGTAGTCACTTACCTATTGTGTTCGTAGGCCGGCAGCTGTGCGAGGCACCACCATGGTTGGCGTGGGTGACGCTGGTGTTGCAGACACCATGGAGGCACGGCTGGCAGGCACGAGGAGACGCCATGAGGCGCAGGAGTTTGGCGACCTCCCGTGGGCGGTCGTCGAGGCTGGCATCCGCGCCGTGTGGGCGACGGAGCACCCTCCTTCTCAGCCTGCTTCTCCTCGACCGGTGAACACCGAGGGCGGCGTCGACGTGGGCGTCAACGCTGGAGGTGGCCAAGTCGGCAGCAGTGCGGGAGGCACGTCGAGGCAGCGTGGTGTGATTCACGCCGATGAAGTCGACGGCGTTCAGGCGCGAGGGATGCAGTCGTTCGCGGCTGCAGGGGCCCCGCGAAACTACGTCGGAGGCAGACGAAGTGAATTGGCGCCGATGTCGGCGACACACGTGACCGCGGGAGGAATTGCGCCGAGCTACGGCTACTTCAAGTTTACGCCGGACACGA